TCTATATATATCTATATATAGATATATATAGAGATATATATATCTATATATATATATCTATATATAGATATATATATATATATACACACACACACACACACACACATAAAATCATTTGGAAAAAAAAACAAAAAACATGATTTGGCACATTTAAAGGTTTCAGCAGGATTAAAGTGACAGTTAAGCTAATACCTCAGGTGTTAGGATTTATTGTCACTATCACCGTCACACCCCATAGCCTTTCCATTGACACACACACACATGAGGTGGATTTAAAACTGTATGATACCTGAAAGCTATTTGTGAAACTTAATCTAATGTATATTAAATGTCTTTGTTTGTGAGCATTAAGGGATAGTCCTAATTAAATCTGTTTTCAGATTCTTGGTAGAGTGATAACACATAATGGAAAGTGAGGGACACTCTAGGAGTTTTCCAAAATCATTTGAAATGCAAATTGAAGTTCTCGCCAGACAAAAATTGTATCTCACCTATAGAGGACGTAGTGATTATAATTAGAGGAGGGAGATTGGGTATGCACCCATGACTACAAATTCTGCAAATTAAAGGTCCGAAAAGAACACACCAGCCGCTATAAAAGTGGTGGATGAATTCTCTATTAATAATAGGTATACTCTAACTATGGCCTGAAAAGGGTTTAAAGTCATTTTTTATTCTTACCAAAAGAAATGTCATGTAATGCATTTTTAAAAGTTTTCATAAGCTTGACTGAGTGCAATAGTAAGAAAAAATGCTGCAAACAGGACATTTTAACAAGAGAAAATATGTAAATATCATGCAAAACTACAAAAAAACATTATTAATCTAACAGTGTAAATAATGTACATAAAATTAAGATTTAAAAAAAATATCCATAGTTGCATATCGTTGTGTATGAGCCTAACAACCTAACATTGGAGATAAGTAATGTACTGTAACAGTTGTACGCAATTCTCCGTTCTGCATTATTTCTGTTAATAGATGCATGATTTGCCCAGTAATATGTGTGCTTGTTGCATTCTCTAATTCAGTACCTCGCATGCAATAAGGCTACTGTCTGAAGTATATTTGTTGAATGCAGATCAGACTTCAAAAAACTAAGACAGCAAATAAACAAAAATGGAAATTTCCTGTACATGATGGTTGGAGTGATTACTTGGCAAAGGGAACATTGTGCTCCCTTAGTAAGTCAACTCCAGTGTTTACTACTTTAGTCAGAGATGGAGGCAAATTTTGCGAATATATAGCCTAATGGATCCAAAGCAATCATGGATTTCTAAGATCTGTCTTTTTTAAATGTATTAGTGATAAATCTCCAGCTATAGTGATATCCAAAACTGAATATCAAACATTTCACTATAAATGAGATAATATTGCCATGTAATAGAAGTTAATCTTGATATTACAGTTATATCTTTGTACCCTAAGAATCCTCTATAGATATTTTTAAAATAAGGACTTTCTTCTGTAGTGTAATTCTCAAGAGATTGCACCTCTTGTTATAGGATCACACAGGATGTATGACGCTTCTTCCTTTCCGACCCAAGAGGATAACCCCAACTTCTCTCCTTCAAACTATTCTCAGAAAGGTATTTCTACTGGTTCCGGTGCTAATTAAACATTATACTAAGTGCTATATCTGCAGTAGAGATCAGGGTATGAATCATGTAAAGAGAAGTTCCATCTTTTGATCACTGCATGTGCTTTGCGGCTGGCTTTCACTGCTTTGCTGACCTGCCCTCAATGTCATATTTGTGACCAGCACTTCTTTAAGTTCTAAAGAAATAACAAAGCCAAAGAAGACAGTTATAAATTATATCTATAAAAATACGTTATGTAATTTATAGAAATAAAATGTATTTGTTCTTTGCTGCGTATAAGGATAGCAGAGTGGGGTTTAAGAAGCTTTAGAAGATATTATACTTTTAAGTAAAGGAAACCTGAAATATTATTATACAGGATTTATATAGCGCCAACAGTTTGTGCAGCGCTTTACAATATAAGGAAGACATTACAATCACAATACAATTCAAGACAAGATGGTAAGGAAGGCCCTGCCCCTCAGTGCGTACAATCTAAAAGGGAGGGAGAAGTGATACATGAGGAGGTAGCTGTGTGGGGATGAATCCAATGATGTCAAGGCACCAACCAACAAAAGCTTTGCCACAGACATGGAAATCCTCAAAGCAGAGTCTGCTGGTGAGTTCACTTGCATTAGGTCATAATCATCTGTTTCTATTGGGTCTCCTCCAATCTCTATCAGCTTGTGAACTATAGCTCCTTTAACTGGTGGGCTATGCTGTTGTTGTTACTGTTACTACTACTATTACTATCAACAGTCTAGAACCAGATAGATGAGACAAGAATGCCCCCCAAAAAGTAGGTGTAAGACAGCAGAGGCGCCCAGGTGGGAGAGATTAAATGATTGTGTTTCTTCAATTTAGACTTTTATTCCAGGAAATACACACATAACTAACAACTTCTCAACGCGTTTCATGGCTCTAAAATCCCTGCTTCTTCAGGAGGGTGTGATGAGACACTATAAGCAGAGTGGTAGCGTCTCTCGGCGTGTGTAATCAGAGAAGTAGTCTATAACCAGAGATGTTTTGGCTAGATTGGCCATTGTTAGATATAATATGATAATAATATGCACATGTATAAGATATATTGCTAAATATAGTCTGGATCCACCATGATATTAAGTTGTTGAGATGTAGATTATGGTCATACATTGTTGGGGTCTGGTAGCTTATGCTCTCAGATCCACATCACCTTCCTTATGGTACCAAAATGTGTTTTTGGTACTGAAATATAAACCAGTTAGATAAGTCTATATATGTGTATTACCAAATCTCTTAAAAAGTCAGACTGCTTATGTATTAGCTTTAGCTTAGTCCCACCGATCATGTTTGTAAGGGTATTTTATTTGTATTCTGTGTGCGTGTATATATATATATATATATATATATATACACACACACAGTATGTATGTAATGTGTATTACCAAATCTCTTAAAAAGTTATCTGTACTTTTAAACAACAAATTGATATTTCCACTTTGGGTAAAAAATGTAACCGTTTAGATTTCCCATACTTTTTGTACAAGTGCCAGTGATTACTTAGGCAAATAGGGGGGTGAATCTCTCTAGTGAGGACACGCAATCAGTAATATCCTGACAGAGGTTCTATGTTTTCCTTCTCTATCCATAAATAAAAAAAAGAGATATTCCAGTTACTAACAGTACTCACAGGTGCAGGAAGTGCTTGTACTGCTTAAATATGTTCAAACATGTTGGAAAATCTCCGTGAATGTTTTGTAATCGCTTCCCTTTCTCATGAGTGAGTGGAATAAACCTTCATAGACTGTGTATCACAACAGAACATCATCCAACCCTGAGATAAAATCGGGTGCTGGAAAAGGAGGTCAATGTGATCTTTCATGCTTACTCTTATCCTGTTTGAGATCTGCCTGTGTAACTGCATACACACATTCTATGCTATAACTAGCTTTCTTTACTGGAAAAACATTTCTCAGCCTACAGCCTGCCTATTTATTTATGCTTTTTGAAGAATGCATTCAAGTTTAATCGAAATGCTTAATGCAGCAAAGTGTTACTTTATTCAATCAACAATAAAAGTTACTAACATTTATGCTTGTTTCTCACAGACTCAGCAACGTCCTTTCTATGTGAACAAAGGAAATACCACTAGTACCGAATCCCCATGAATCCCTGGGACCAAGCTCTAAGATTATGTACCAAAGCTATAGATTTGTGGGCAGAAAGAGGGTGGGGATCTGTGCTTAATTCCTTCACTGCTGTTGTAGTGAATGCGTTGTGACTGGATTTTGCTGGGAAGAAGAAAACTGGTTTTAGTCTAGCCAAAGGCAACAATTGCTTACTGGAATTCCAGGGTGGGTCCAGCAAGAATGAACCTTTATCTATGTTTTGCAAGTTAACCCTTTATTGATATAGAAACCATTAAGCTATTACTGACAACATATTACTATTTAGAAGAAAAAAAGAAATTGAGGAAAACATTCATCAATAAATTCATCTAAAGAGCTATATCCATGTATCTGCATTTTGTTTTTGGTGTACTGTTTGTCAAAAAATGCTGTTATATCGTTGTTATTGACTTAAACAGTTCTTAACCACTTCAGAACCAGCATGTTACACCCCTTCCTGTCGAGGATATTTTTCATTTTTTTTTTAGTGCTATGACAGTTTGACAGTTACTCAAAGAACACTGTACTCAAATTAATTTTATACTTTTTTTTGCAGTAGATAGAGCTTTCTTTTCATTGTATTTGATAACCAGTGTTGTTGTTTTTTATATTTTGTTACTATATAAAGAAAAAAAGACCAAAGAATAAAAAAAGTTTCCCTTTAGAATAAAACATATCAAATAAAACTGTGAGGACAGTACCAACATCCCTTATAATAACACATTTTTTTGGATAGGTGATCTAATTTTTTGGGAAATAAAAAACATGCTGATACTGAGGTGCTTAAAAAATAAATGTCGGTGCACTTAGTCACCCACTGAAGGCAAGTGCAAGTCTTCTATTATTAGTGAAAGAAAGTTGAAAGAATGAAAAGTTAAAATTGCATTGCACTGAAATTACATTGCTTGCAATGGCTAGATGTCATGGATAAATCCAAAACACTTCAAACCCCACCCAAAACCATCCCACACTTATTGGTAGTCAGTGGCAGCTGAGAACACATGGCACAAAGGCTCTCCAATTAACGTCTGTGCCAATAACAGCTTTCTGCTGTTTAATGACACTGGGAACAATGGCTATATGTATACACTTGCGAGCGGGAAAGGATGTACAGGTATGTCCACCTGCTTTAGGATCGGCCAGACGCAAGGTGGTTAAGTCTTTTAATATATACCAATGCAAAGTCATTGGGCCAAAGGCACAAAAACAGGGTTTTTTTTTAGGCGCGTACACAGTTTTCAACTTTTAGATAAAAACAATATCACCTTTATTACGCATAAAAGTGTAGCATAAAACTTTAAAACAAAATACGCTGTTGGTTTACATACACAGGAGTTCTTTACAGCTGGACCACACATGTACATGGTACATGTGAACAATGATTCCAGAGGTGGTATAATAGCCACTGTATTTCCCTCAATGCGTTTCGCTGATGACAGCTTCCTGTAATATTATAAGCATTCAAGGATAAATTTGCAACATAAACCATATGCGATATATACATAAAACAAAGTTATTCATGGTTATCAGCTTAGAAAAATCAGCGTGAAGTCAGATGAAGGAGAGCAGAGCATCCGGACAGCAGTTCCCTCCCCAGGGGGGTCGCAAGAGAAGTGACCACGGCAAGGGGGCGTTGCTATGGCATAGAACCGAGCCTTCCTCTGCTAAACATGTTAAATTGATAACTAAGTATTTTAATGTTTGACCTAACATTCACACAACTTTTATGCAAGACTCACACATTTTGTTGATTCAATTGGAAAAAAATGTGTGAATCTTGGGTGAAAACATGGATAAATAGGGCCTTTACACATGTTCTGATGTAAATTATTGAGCCAATGAATCCACACAAACAGCTAATGTTTTTGTAAATGTATTTTACATTTATTTTAGATAACAGGAAATGGAAACAAACTCATTGCTGCAAAATATATTTTGAATACATCTTATATATAATATACAGATCGTTGTCAAGCTGTACAGTTTGAGTATGCAAAAGAAATATAAAGGAAGAGAATAAAGGAAAGTAGGAGAAAATATATGACATCACAATATTCCATAGCCTCTATTCAACACAGTAAATACATTTTTTTTAACTTTCAAAGTATTTTATTAATTTTCCAAAGTAGAATAAAACAATAAAATAGCACATGATGCACAGTCAGTATAGCACACAATTGCATTTCAGATTCTACCACATTAGCATAGTCAAGTAGTAGGGGGGGATCACTAGATGCCATACACACCATATATAATAGTTCTGTAAAACAGATCATATCTATCACTCTATTCTTGCCAATTTATCCCCCATCAGCAAAAACTCAAAACAGTCTGAGAGGAATATCTGGTATAGGGATCCGCCTATGTCTGCAGCAAACATTTGTTATGATCTCCTCCATATCTATATAAATAGAAGACTTTCTGTCCAACATCAATGCACTAAACAGCTCACGTGTGCGAGCATAAAAAAAAAAAGAAGACAGACAATAAAAGGAAAAGGAAATAGATGCTAAAGGACGCAGACCAGCTTAAGAGTCCGAAAAGAGTAGCTCCATCCCCGACCAAATAGCCCAACATCTACTTAAACATTAAACATAGTCCCCAGAGAAAAATTCCAGAAAAATTGTTCAATGAAAATTACCCGGTTTCCAGCACCATTGTATATAACAACCAGGGGGTCCAGGTCAATTCAAAGCTTTAGTATCTTGGAGGATGCTGTGAAGTTTCTCATGGACCATAATCCACAAAATTTTTTGTTTAACCGAGATCCTGGTCATACACAGAGGAAAGCTGAGCCACCCGCACTGCCCTATAGTATTGCAAGAGATTGGGGACACCCAAACCCCCTGTCCGTTTAGAACGGTACAGTATATTTTTCGAAAGTCTAGGATGTTTTCCATGCCAAACAAATTTAATAATTAAAGATTGGAATTTCAAAAGATCTGGCTTATGTATAGCTATGGGTAGAGCCAGAAAGTAATATAGGATCTTGGGGAGCAGCGTCATTTTGAGTGCATGAATGCGACCCAGCCATGCCAAATTACAGGAGTCCCATCGAGACGTTTTCCTCCCAGAGTCGGTGAAACAGGGGTATATAGTTTTTCTTATATAGTTATAAAAAGACAGGTGTATGCCACCTTTTCTACATCGGTGGGCCCAACTTACAGGCCAATCCCTGGAAGTTACCTACGCTAGTATCCTGAAGGGATGGCAACAAATCAGGAAGCATATCATATGTGAGTCCTGGCGCGAACTCCAATTTAAGATGTTCCACAGGGCCTACTACGCCTTCAATTTCGCCCCTAAATTCGCATCACCTGACTGGCTACAACACTGCCCCAAATGCACCATTCATCACCCTGACTTCTTTCACCTGTTATGGTCTTGCCCTAAGATAACTGCTTTCTGGCAAAGGGTGGTGGATTACATGAACTCTTTATCTGAGGAGGAGGGGGAACCCCTACCATCCCTCTGTTTACTGCATGATATGCCCCACGACCCCGCAATACTGGTCCCCTCAATTTCCCGATGGGAGCATCTTTGCCTACTGGCTTCCAAAAAAAACATCCTCACCAACTGGCTACTCCTTACCATCCCTACCGCGTTGGAACTGACTAACACCCTTCATAGGCTCATGCTCCTGGACAAATCTGACTCTCCCCATAATGAAAAAAGAACAGGCCAGTTTTTTAGTACATGGTCAGCTTTCCTAACTGCAACGCTATCCCTAGACCAACTTAAGGACATTATGCTGCCCTTTCGATCCTCCAAATGGTACAATATAGCCAAATTAGACGGCTCATTGGGAGCTTTAGATGTCTTATAGCCCTAAGGCTATCGGTACCCTTCGGCTAGGTGAGGCTCCGACAATTGCTGACTCGAGACAGTGGAAAACCCCTTTTCTCTTTATTGTATTACTCCATCGCCCGACGTTCCTTGACCCTTGACGTCCAGTTTATCCCATTGTCCCATTTTCAGTGTTGATAATACATTTTTTTTAATGAAATTGTGGTATTGGAAGAATTACTGTGTGCACTAATACAGATATACTGGTATACTAAAGAATCATTACAAATATTCACATTATAGCATAACTGTCTAACAGCAACTTTTATTAAAACTCAGTTACAATAGAGTCAAATATTCCACCAAGAATCAAGTTACAATAGGCTCACTTCACAAAGCCAGGATAAAGGTCCTTATTTTCAGAAAGGTGAGTTATTTTCAGCTGAATTCAATGAGATTTCAAATTTGTAAATGGTCTGAAAATAGAGTGCCTTAGGCTTGTGAGTTGATCAATGCCTTTTGTTTCAGTAATCTAAGGCAGGGCTCCCAAAGTGAATAGAAACAGTTTTATTTATGTCTCTGTGCACAGTATGTTCCATAGTACAGTATCACAGCTCCTTCACAGCAGCACTAGAGAGAATGGCGGGTGCACACTGGCCAAGCCTATCTTGCTCAAGCATCAGCAGTTATACACAGAAAGACGTCCAGTCGCACACTGAAAAATGTATTATAGCACACAGGTACACATGGTCCCACTGAGGATTCTCTTCACTCTGACATGTTTCACCCAATAATGGGCTATTATTATTATTGGGTAAAACATGTTTCAGTGAAGAGGATCCATGGCGGGACGATATGTACCTATGTGCTATAAAACATTTTCAGCGAAGCTTGCGGTGTGTGATCAGACTTCTTTCTGTGTGCATGTGCACAGTATTGTTTTCCTAATCTTATGTAATGCGTAAAAAGGCCATGCCATTCTTTGAAACAACTACACTCAGCTTACAAAAAAATCATGTGCATATCTCTCTCTTTCAATGTATTCGGGATCTAATGCTCTCTTAGTCTGGGCGTATGTAATAGCAAGCATTGTTTACCCTAATCCATGGTGCTGCAGGTTTCCTCCCTGTAGATACCAGTATTAATGATTGATCTCATGAAGCCCCTCCTCTTCGCTGGTCATGTCACCTCTCCTCTTGCTTACATCATCACGTACAATGCAGAACTGGTAGCCAGTGCTGGTCCTACATTGTACCTAATGACTTCAAGCCACTGCAGTCAACATGGAGTTTAAAGTAATTTTTTTGTTTGTTATTTTAAGAATTTGGTAAATTTTATTTATATATTTGTTATAAATGTGAATACATTTTGTCAA